AATTATCAACTGACATAACACAACGAGACATGACAAACGTTCAAGAAGCTTCTCAAACTTTACATAGTATTTCAGATTCGCAAAGACCGTATGTTTTGTTATCAACCGCTCAAATATTAATTCACGATAAATACGGAAATATTCATGTGTGTAGAGCTATTTTAGACTCTGGATCTCAAAGTAACTTAATAAGTAACAGTTTATGTGAAAAATTAGGCTTGGATAAAGTTGATATACTTACACCTATTATAGGTGTAAATCAAATCATAACAAATATTAAATACAAGGCTAAAACTCTTATTAAGTCACGAACAAGTGCGTTTATGAAAGAATTATCATTTTTAGTTTTGCCAAAAATAACTGAACGGATTCCTTCGTTTGATTTTGATATTAATCTTTTCCCCCTAATTAATAACAAAACTATTAGCTTAGCAGATCCAAATTTTAACTTAGCTCAAGATATTGATCTCTTGTTAGGTGCCAATATTTTTTATGAATTACTGTGCCCAAATCAAATCAAATTAAGGAATTCAAACCTCATCTTACAGGAAACCACATTAGGTTGGATTTTCACGGGTACTATATATTTGAATCATCTAAACGATCGAAATATTTGTAATTTTTCACGGGAGGCAGATACAAATGTATCTAATGAAAGCTTAAATGAACTTTTAAAGAAGTTTTGGGAAATCGAGGAAGTTCCCAATAAACCAATTTTATCGCCCGAGGCACAATTAGCAGAACAATATTACAGTCAAACCACGACACGCGATAGTAATGGTAAATTCATAGTAAGATTACCTTTCTCATGTAAATTGGAAACTTATGGTGATAGTTATGCAACTGCCGTAAAACAATTTAATAGAATTGAAGGCAAGTTATCGAAAAACGAGGATTTGAAACACGATTATATTCAATTTATGAATGAATATAAGAATCTTGGTCACATGACTCTTATATCAAATGCTGATGTTAATACGTTTCTTAACCAGCCCTCGTATATACTTCCACATCATGCTGTAATAAAACAGACGAGTACTACTACTAAATGTAGGATAGTATTTAATGCCTCCAGTCGTACTAATATTGGGGTGTCATTAAACGATACGTTATTAATAGGATATAGTGTACAACATACTTTATTTTCTATCATTACTAGATTGCGTTTACGTAAATATGTACTTAATGCAGACATAAAAATGATGTTTAGACAAATTTGGATTCACCCAGACGATCGTCGATATCAAATGATTTTATGGCGCGATAATGAACATTCTAATCTTGACCTGTACACACTAAATACTGTAACTTACGGGACAGCTAGCGCACCATTTCTAGCAACACGGACATTATACGAATTAGCGACACTATTTGAAGGACAATACCCTCGAACTTGCCAAATTATTAAAACTTCAATTTACATGGATGATTTGTTAGTTAGTTTAGAAAGTTTTGATGAGGCTTTAGAAGTCTTTAGAGAAATTTTTACAATATTTGAAAGTGCAGGCCTTCAGTTTCGAAAATGGTCTTCAAATGATCCATGTATATTAAAGGAAATCCTCAAGTATAATAACAATGACAATAGTGACCGATTAGTAGAATTTCACGACGATAAGGAATTAAAAACCTTAGGCGTAGCGTGGAAGACTGACACAGATACTTTTAACTATGCGGTAAATTTAGATGTTCGACCAAACGCGTGTACAAAGAGGATAGTTTTGTCAACCATCTCTAAATTGTTCGACCCCCTCGGTTTAGTCGGTCCTATTATAATTCGCGCTAAAGTTTTTACGCAACACCTATGGCGAAAGGGTATTAAATGGGATGATCCTTTGCCAGACGAGTTACGTCGTTGGTGGAATGCATTTTTAAATCAACTTCGTGAAGTTAGACGCATTACTATTTCACGACAGGTTTTATGTGATGAACCTCAATTAATTCAAATGCACGGATTTTGTGATGCAAGTGAAAGTGCATATGGAGCTTGCATCTACTTAGTTTCAAATGACAGAACCGGGAAAAAACATAGTAATTTATTATGTGCTAAATCTAAGGTTGCTCCTCAAGCTAAATGTACTCTACCTCGTTTAGAACTTTTATCTGCCGTTTTGTTGGCTAAATTAGTTGCCATAATGCAAACCGTACTAGATATTAAGGTTCCAAGTACTACGTTCTACACTGATTCGACTATAGTCTTATCATGGCTACGTTTAGATCCTAGTACATTGAAAACATTTGTAGCAAATCGAGTAGCTAAAATCATAGAACTTACTAACATGGGTGATTGGAAGCATGTAGTCTCGAAGGATAACGCAGCAGATGTTATCTCCCGAGGTTTAACTCCTCAAGAACTGTGCAATTCTGATATATGGTGGCACGGTCCAAATTTCTTACTTGAAGATGAGGACGTGTACTCGACTACACCATTACCGAAACAATCATTAGAACAATTACCCGAAATTAAACATTCTCAAAGCGTAATATTAACATTAACTAATGATGACTTCGATATATTTAACAGATTTTCTTCGCTCAGTAAATTACTAAGTATAGTCTCTTATTGCTTTAGATTTAAACTTGTAACCAAAAATAAACAAAAATTTCAATCCCTAGCACTTACTCCAACTGAATTAGAAACCACTTTAATGCATCTGATTAAATTATCACAGGCTCAATCATATTTTGAAGAAATACGTTATTTAAAAACAAGCGGCACATTAAGATCTACTAGTAAACTACTTTGTCTTAACCCATTTTTAGATAATAGTGGTACCCTTAGAGTAGGCGGGCGTTTGAAAAACGCTGATATAGAATACTCGCAAAAATTTCCAATAATTTTACCCAAAGGACATGCATTAACGCGGCTCATCATTATGCATGAGCATATTAAAAATCTTCATGCTGGTACACAAAATTTATTGGCTATAATGAGACTTAAATTTTGGCCTATTGATGGAAAGACTGCTATAAAGGGAGTCATTGGCACTTGTATAAAATGTTTTAAATCGAATCCGAAAACTGCAAAATTTTTAATGGGAAATTTACCAGTTTCACGTGTTACACCAAGTCGGCCATTTTCTCGTTGTGGTTTGGATTACTGCTGTCCAATTTTGATAAAAGACAGTACTCTACGTAAGCCAAAGTTAGTAAAGGCATATATTTGTATATTTGTTTGTTTTGCTATCCGTGCAGTTCACATTGAGTTGGTGAGAGATCTTAGTACTGACAGTTTTTTGAATGCCTTAAAACGGTTCATCTCACGTCGAGGCAAACCATTTGAAATTTTTTCCGATAACGGAACTAATTTTGTAGGCGCACGTAATCATTTAAATGAGTTATATAATTTGTTTTGTAATGCTGATCATAATAAACGAGTTTTAAATTATTTAGGGAATGATCGAATCCACTGGCACATGATGCCTACCCGATCTCCACATCTAGGAGGGTTATGGGAGGCAGCAGTTAAAAGTGCTAAATTTCATTTGAATAGAACATTAGGAAATGCCTTAGTTACATATGAAGAAATGTATACTATACTTACACAAATCGAGGCGTGTTTAAACTCTAGGCCTCTTTCACCTTTATCTATAGATCCTAATGATACTTTACCTCTCACACCCGCTCACTTTTTAATTGGAGATTCTTTGGCCGCATTGCCTCAAGAAGATGTTCAAGGGTTTTCAAATTCACTAAAACGATATCACCGAATGCAGCAGTTACTTCAGCAGTTTTGGTCTCGATGGTCCAGAGAATACTTAACTACGCTACAGACCAGAAACAAGTGGCGATTAAAATCTGGAGTCGGTCCCAAGGTAGGAGACTTAGTCATTCTAGTAGAGGATAATGTACCTCCTTTACGTTGGCACATGGCAAGAATAGTCGAGCTGCACCGGGGAAGAGATGAAATTGTACGAGTAGTCTCAGTCAAAACTTCAAATGGCAGTGTATTGAGAAGATCGTTAGCAAAGGTGTGTCTACTACCAATCGAAGAATAGAAGTTTGTTTTGTTAATTATTATTATTTATATTAGTTATTTAGTTTGAAAGCTAATCTTTCAAGGTGGGCGGCTATGTTACGTCACCGATGGTACGTAATATTTAGTTTGGCAATCCTATCAACATTTTTGTAATTGATTTCTGTATCCATATCGACCATGTTTGATTAACGTTTGTATTGAAAAAAAATAAATAAAAAATACTTTTGAAACTGTCACGAATCATTTTGAACAAAACACGAATTCATCTATACAGTCCATTGCACGATCCCACAGTATGTATGTTTAATGTTATTTTCAAAATCAAAATACTCAGCTTAAGGTTGTTAAGGAGTAGACAGAGTTGTTGACTTGAGTTTTGTGAATTTTGAAAAGCTAAAAAAGAAAGATTTTTATATAGTAACAAAATACAAGTTTTGAAATACAAAAGCAATAAGTAAATTAACTTCAATCTCACAAAATAGAAGAGATACCAATTGGTTTGAGGTAATAATTTGTATACTTACGTATCGTCAACGAAATACACCATTGGGTTGAATGACATCCGCCATTTGCATTTGCAATTATGCTGTACACAGGACTGGATATTCACATTCAGCTGTTTTCGCTAAACAAAAGGTTCCATTGGAAGAAATCTCTTATAGAAACCAAGATATTATAAGTTTTGCTAAATTATTCTAATAAGGAAGAAAATTTACTTACATTCATTGAAATACCACAGTTAAAAAGTTTAAAAAACTTAATAACATTGTGTTTGTATTATCTGATATTTTTCTGCACTATTTTCTAATGATAATCGGTGAGGGCATCTAACTGCAATTTATAAAACACTAAATGTTCTACCGTCGTAGGACTTTTTTACTGAAATGATAATAGTACTTCTATTAATTTTAGCTTTTTGTCAAGTCACTGGCCTAGTTGTAATTTAAATAAAACGAACCAATTATTTTAAAAATAATTTTATTAAAAAAGGAAAAAAATATAACTATTAAAAATAACAGTGGTGCTCCAACAATATTATATATTATAATATATTGTATTCTATAGTTATCTGAAAAAATATACGGAGTGGCCCAAAAGTCTGGAAACGGCCAATTATCTCGTAAATTGCTAATCCTAATTGTACAAAATTTGGGATACACCTATTTCGGGATACGGAGATTCCAGATTTGATATTTGCAATGTTGTCAGATTTGCCGTTTCTCTTATATTATTAGTCACTTTGGTTTTTTAAATTCATCACCCTGTATATTCAGTCATTATTGAAATCTCCTATTCAATACGAGTTCAACGATATGTAACACTTATGATTTTATGTAGTCTGGAAGGTCTTAAACAAATAAGACAATTATGGAGAAATGTGGTAGACACATGCTACCATCGATTAGGGTACTGTCAACTCACAAATGGAGCACATTTTGAACACTTGATAAAGTAACCATTATGTGTAAAAATGTTATAATCTTTCAATTGTTACGTTTTAACGTAGTTGAAAACAGTTTGTATTAAAAAATTTATTGAGAAAATTAGGCGTTGCCAGACTTATATTTTATTTAAGACCTTCCAGACTACATAAAATCATAAGTGTTGCATATGGTTGAACTTGTATTGAATAGGAGATTCCAATAGTGACTGAATATATAGGGTGATAAATTTGAAAAACCAAAGTGACTAATAATTTAAGAGAAACAGCAAATCTGGCAACATTGCAAATATCAAATCTTGAATCACCGTATCCCAAAATAGGTATACCCCAAATTTTGTACAATTAAGACTAGCAATTTACGAGATAATTGGTCGTTTCCAGACTTTTGGGCCACTCTGTATATCAATGACACTCATGGACGAACTTGATATTTGCATATAAAAATAAAATAATTTGAACTTTTTATTTCTGCGTTCGGTTAAAACTTGTCCCGCTTTGGAAAATAAACGTTCGCAAGGAACAGATGTCGCCAAAGTACATAGTCTTTTTTGGGCAATTTTGGATAAATATGAATAAATTTGTTTATGCTCTTGCCACCATAAAAAAGAGTGTTTACTATCGCGTGGAAGTATTTCTTCTTCAAGAAATTTTTGCATTTCTATGATTGCCCAAGACATGGATGTTCCCTTTGGTTGACAGGAAGCAGTGATTTTATAATAAACTATTCAAATTGATAGTCCTGCTTCAAGATTTTCATTCCTAATTTTTTTCTCCTTCGAGGTTTCCTCGTTAGTATTCTTCTGATGTTCTCGTGTTTCTTCGGTTAATCAAATAAAAATTTTTTTTTACGTTTTTAGCTATGGAACCCAGGGCAGAACGGCACGCCTTAATTTAAAGCGAGTTTTGAAATTCTAAAAAGTAAAACAAGTTAAAATAAAGTAAAGGAAAAGATGGCTTATATTATTAATCAAAATAAAAAACAATAAAAATAACAAAAAATACCAAAAAAGTTTAGTAAATTTTCAATTAAATTTTTTTTCTCATCCTGCCTGCCCCATGGAAGGGATATAATTATTTTATTACTCTAAGATCCATGGAATGCTAAGAAAGGTAGAAGAATAATATAAAGTATAAAAAAATACGTGTGGCACTCGGGGCCTGCCGCAGTAAAGCTATTGCATAGCATTTTTTATCAACTTATGCAATTATAATTATTTATTTATTTATTTTATTTATGCAGTATTTTTTTTTTCTTTGATATTAATTCAAGTTTTTTCGTTGATATTAATTCAAGTTACACTTTTTGAGCGTGGTGACCGATAAGAAAACAATTTTTTTTCTTTTATTGAATAAATGAGGAGTTATTATTGTTTAAAATATTTTTATTATCTTACAATACATATAGGTTATTCAGTTATTTTTATTGTTGACACTATAGGTTTATTGTAACTGAAATAAGAAATATAAGTTTGAGACTTAATATCCTCTAAATGTCTGGAAAATACCGCGTCAATGGTGGTCCCATATTTTACTGTGGATTCTTGTGGATTATTATTCATTTTCAAATTCAATTTTTCCGAAAAAAAAGTTGTCAACCGCTCTGATTTTTATCAGCGAAGTTGATATTGAAATCTCCAGCCAAGATAAGTGGAAATTTATTACCATTTGTATTTTCGACCCTGCTTCAGTGTACTCCAGTAAAGTGCAATGAATAATATGCTCTGCCTTGTCCAATTTTGGATTCGGAGTAATGTAAATTGCTACCATGACTATGTGTAGGCCATTTCTAAGTTTGCATAAACACGCACAAATATCTCCAACAAATGAGCGCCTAACATTAACATCGCTAACGTGTGCAATATTTATTTCAATATTCGGAGTTATTTTGGTAAATAGCTACTCCACCTTTTGGAACAGTATCTCGTTTGAATTGAACAATACAATTGAAATTAGGTATTTCAATCAAATTATCATGCGTCATGCAAGTTTCGGTAAGAAGTAACACATTTGTTTGTCTCGTAACTGAATCTTGTAAATCGTATTTGTGACTATTTAGACTTTGGCAATTGAAAGTCATTATTGAAATGCCATTTCTATTACTAATGAAATCTAAGACACTTTGAGCTATCGTCTGCACACCATTTAAAGAGAGTTTGAATTCTTGCAACAAAAATGCAGTCGATGCAGCTTGCCTTCCATTATGATAAAACTTGAATGTAGAATTATCGTTTTTTGTCGTGATATACAATTTTTAAATATTAGTCACCCGAGAGAGCTCAACATAAACGAGTTCCTGAGAATGTGTTTTACTATACTCATATACTATTTCGTCAAAAGTTCTACCTTGCGACTTATGTATAGTTAGAGCAAGAGCTGAAGTTAATGGAAAATGTTTGCGTTTGGCTATACATTTTCTATCCGATGTTAATGAAATATTTGCTGTTTGTAATTCAACGGGAACAGCGAGATTGCCGACTCTATTTTGCACTGCTAGAGCGGCTGCTTTTTGCCTTTTTTTCTACCCACTTTATCTGAACCACAAAATTACAGCCAAACTCTAATCAATGTGTTACTTTCATCAAATTCTAGCATTGTGTCTAAAGAGATAGAATCAGTTATGAGCAGTTAACAGATAGTCTACACGCATACGTCTAGTCGCACGCACACAAACACCGTTCCGAAGTCTGCTGAATTGAAACGACGTTAGACGATGCACGGCTTTCAACGCCGCACCGCTGTGCCGGTCGGAGTGGGAGGTATTAGGTTTATTTTCGTTACGGAATTTCTTGATTCGGTCGCCGCTGAAAGCCCGCGATAAAAACTATGCAATAGCTTAAAAAATATTTTTATAGAAAGTGGTTTTAATAGGCCTAATAATTCACATTTGAAAATGATTTCGTCATCCTGGCTATCAATATCAACGCAAGAATTATGTGCCCACTTGTGGCATGATGAACACGATATCCATCCTATGGGATCTTTATATGTGGTATATCCCATCAATAAATAAATACGAATTCATGAAAATATAATTTTAAAAATAAATTGTATGTCATGACATGTATATATAAATTGTAAATTCTAAAGTCATAATTATTATAAACAATATTTTGTTTCCCTCGCGATGAGTTCAACCTTTTGTCTTCGCTAGAACTGCCACGAAAGGTTATCTAAATGATGACGGCAATTTAATGTATATGACGTAATAAAATGAAAATGAAAAAGATATGTAGTGCAAGTACGTCGCTACATACCTTTTTCCTTCATTGGAAGTTGAATAGAACCTGGCAATATAAACATTCTGCATCACTGACACTATCACTATCGTGGTCAACTAATTCTGCAGGGCTTTTCATCATTTTTTGGCAACTTTTTCCTTATTAGCAATTTCATCTTTTTTAGCACAGTTGCAGTTACAGCTGCATCGCTTTCTTTTGTAGAATCTATTTTTCGTTTTGCACGCTTTACTTTATTAATCTCCTTGATTCTTGCTTCATCTTTGGCCCTTTTCAATTTTTTTCATGCAAGATGACGTTAAAATTGCTGTTTTCCCTTTTCTTTGAGAACGCCTTTTTTGATCCTGTTGAACTTTAGGTATGGGTAAGATCAACTAAGGAGAAGCACTGAGAAATGTTGAGGTGTTAGCTGGAGAAGCACTGAAAAATGAAGAGGTGTTAGCTGTTATTGGAGTGTCTGGCAACCATGAACACTGGGGTAAAATGGATTCGTTTTCATTGTTTTGTAAAACGTTTTTGAAATTGTTTCAATGTACCCCGGGGTATTACCATTATTTTAACTAGTTTCTTCCTGATTAGTGGTAGCTTCTTCCTCTGTTGTAGGCAATTTATTAACCTTATTGGGATTAGAACTCCCAGCTAATTGGATGTCTATTGGTGCAGATGGAAGGAAATCGTCATCAGTAAAAACACTAATATCTGGAGGTCATACTCCCGACTTTTTGAACCAATTCACGGCTGTTTTCATTGTGGCTGCATTGATAAATGCAACTCCAAATAGCGTTGAAATTTGAAATAATGTTACTACTTTTCCGGGGTTACATCTTAGCCATTTTCTCATTTCTTCTTCGCAATAAAGACTAACGGGTTTCATCAGCGAAACTTCTAAGGGCTGAAGACGGTGTGAGCAGTGAGGAGGGAAGCAAAGTAGTACCACTCCATTAGCTCAGGCAAGATCAAGTAACTCAATGTTTTTGTATGTGTTAAATGTATGTCTAACAAGAGCAGGACATGGGCTTTCTGTGCGGCTTTAGAAAAGGGTATAAATTTTTGAAACCAAATAAGGAAAATTTCGGATGTAATCCACTCTGAATCAGACACTTCTGCCCAGACTCCTGGTAGCAAACCTAACTCCAACTTGTTTTGTTTTCTTTTTCTAAGAAATATAAACATTGGGGGCATATAAGCTCCACTGGCAGAAAAACATAACTCTGCAGTCACAGTTTGGCCTCTCTTACTTGATGTTAGTGTCCCCACTTGCCGTTTTCCTTTGATAGCAATTCTATTGGAATGTCTTTTAGGATTTACGGTAATACCGGTCTCATCGCAGTTGAATATTTTGTCAGTTAATTTATATTTGTCAATATACTCTTTCATTAATGTCTAAAATTGTGTTACGGCTACCAGGTTAAACCCCATGGCACGAGCTCCTGAGGTTGCCTCAGGTTTCCTTACTGATATGCCATGCGACGTAAGTTTTTTCATGGACAAGCCAAATAATCTTTTTTCCATATCTTTGAGGTAACTAGAAAGCTCCAATTCCTGCTGTTCATTAAAAACGCACTGAAATTTACCCTATTTTTTATTGATTTGAAAATCTGGAGCATCTCGCTTTTTGATCACATATCTGGCCAATGTTGACTTTGGTACAACAAACTCGGCTGATGCTTTTTTTAAGCTTACATTATTTGCAATTGCCTCTAAAACGACTCGTTTCATAGAATCCGCAGACCAATTTTGTCGTTTTGGTTTTCGAACGTTGTTGCGAACCATCTGTAACAACAGAAACATCACAATTATTTTCTCTTTTAAAAACAGTGTTTAATATACGGGGCAGAACAAGACGCGTTTCGTTCCGCCCCGTCTTATTGATCTCATTCCGCTCTAAGCGCATTGAATTGAAATAAAATTTATAGTGAAGTTATAGTACGATTTTTTTAGATTTGTGTGCGTTAATAGATAGCCAAAAAAACGACTTAAATTAGTACCTTATGCTAAATAAGTTGTAGATAAAATAATATTGCTTACCTCTGGATAATTGATATACCAAAATTACACTGTAATAGGTAAAACTAAGAACAATTATTAATACAGACCTCTCGCTTTGTAAACGACAACGATTACTACCGCTTATTAACAGCCGACTACAGTCTTGCCAATTTAAAATTATGCTGTCCCTCCAACATAATTATGCGATTTTGCCCAAGATTGTGCGATCTAATGACAAAACTTACTCGTCACCATTTTTGTCATTTATGACGTCATCGTAGACCCAACTCTCTGCGTAAAATACATTATCCGAGCATTTCACACTCCATCCAGGCCTACAGTGACGTCACCAGTCGCCATGTGATTTTCCAACCTTCGCTAGATTGCGTGCCCATTATTCGGCGGGGTTTTTAAATGACCTATTTTGTTGGTAAAAAAAATTAAACACAGTTTTAACAAAATAAAAATATGGTTATATTCAATTTAAAGTAAAAATAGAGGAGATCGGTAATACTGATGTTATAATAAAAAACAAAAGTAAAAATAATAATTTAATTCTCTTAAAACAAGTTTGGTCCTGCGATCTGAACTATTACAAATAAAATATATAAAAAAAACAAGTTCCTCAGTACCTTATGCTTATGAACCAAATAAAATAACCTCATGGTTCAGAAAAGCTACCAGAAAAAATAAATAAAAATAAGTTCTACTTTTTGTCTTGCCAGATCTTGCATTTCAACATCTTTTTTGACGGTTGGAATTTAACACAACCGCCACTTCCGTAAACTCCAGCCTTGGTCGCTAAAATAGCTTTTTTTGTTGAGGTGTTCAATAAATTCCTTTTGTCGGTTTTAATATTGAAAAAACCACTAAAAATCCGTTCAACACTGGCGTTTGAAAAAAGGCAAAACAAAAAGTAGGGACAAAACTCTTTTTAAATTGGGAAACAAAAAATTATTTGCGTCGTTTTTCAATTTAAAAATTTTCGACCAATACTGCTCAGGTTCATTACAGTTTAATTCCAGTGCTTCAAAATTTAGAAGAGCATACCTTCTCCATTCATTGTCTAATGAATATCCACATGATCTTTTAAATTAGGAAATCTGTCCAGAATATGTTTTAAAGACTTAGTCTCAAAACTTTGAGCTGTTTTTGGGTCAATAATTTCGCTTATTTTAAAAATAGGATCTTCGAATCTGAATCGGTGTTTAATATTTTTAACTAATTCTGTATAAAAAGATAATATGGTTTTCAAAAACCTGTCTAAGTCATGTCTCTATATTTGTTTTTTTTTAATCTTGAAAACTGTTGCTAAAACCCCTAAGTAAATATTCTCTAATGGAACAAAATTTAAAGGATTTTCATGGTTAAGTTTATGAATGTCTTTGTTTTTTATTATTAAAATGTTGATAAAATTAGAGCACAATGTTTTTAGTAGAGTCTCTGTTTCTGGCTTAACTTTATAAAGAAGTGGCTTTTCTGATTGAAACAGTAAATTGAACTCCGTCATAAGGCCTAAAGTATATGACATAAATTCAAGATAAACTTTGGTGAAAGGGTTTCTCATTGTTTCTAGCATATTTTTAGTTGTAACTGATGGATCTTCGAAAACTGATTCTGTAAGATATGCTTTAAGAGGCTCGTATTCCTCGAGCACTATCAACACATTCTTTGATGGATAACCACCTTGTAAGGGCTGAAGAGAGTATCTTGTGTATTTCTACTTGGAAAAAATGCTGGAATTCTTTAAATTTTTGTCTGCGTAAGGCACTCCTGTTAAAGTGGCTGCCTATGTTACGAAGAAGAACTTCAACATGCCTTGGTAGTTTTAAACAGGCTTTTGATGTTGCCAAGTGAGCCATATGACAGGAACACCTTACGCAGACAATATGTGGAAATTCTTCCTTCAACAAGGAAAACAGAGTGGTACTCTCCAACCATCACATTGGTGGTGTCTGAGGAGAAACCTACAAAATTATTCAATAAAATTTTATTCGAAGTTAAAGATTTTCTTAGGGTTGTATACAAATCATTAGCTGTTGATCCATGTACCTCAACAAGATTGAAAAACTGAGTTTTCGGTACTGATATTTCATAATCATAGTTTATCACTGTGAAAGCGCATTGCTTTTTCACAGAAATATCGGTCGTGTCATCCATGATTAATGAAAAAAACACCCCGGCTCTTTTAACTTAGCATATAAATCGGTTAGAAAATTTTCTCCTAAGCTGTTGCAAAGAATTGGCTTTTGATCTCTTTAAATTAAGCTGGATTGCAATTTTTGAGTCTGGGAAAATGTTTTTTAATAAAGGAGTCGTCCATCAACAAAAATGGGAGGTTGTTACTAGCCAACAATGCGCATAATTTTATTTCTGCATTTTTGACAGCTATGTCATTTGCTTTAGGCCTAAACATATCAGGAAGCTTAGACTTGCTAGCAACTTTTTGCAAATTTAATTTGTGCTTTTCACTCTTTGAATGTTTTAATAAGACACTTTTATGTGCCATAATGTCACAATTACATACCTTACAAAAAGCATACTCATTACCTTCTGATGGCCCTTTAATTGATTTTTCAAGTCAACCCTTAAATTCACCTAAATTTTTCAAAGAACTAACAAATGTCTTTTTTTTTTCTGGAACATGATTTTTTTTTTCTTTTTTTATGGAACCTTCACTGAAGAGCTAGGCTAAAATTAAAATATTAATTTAAGATTATAGATATACATCTTCTCAGTTTTTTATTTTATTTATACACTTTACATTTGCTAATTCATCATCATCTGTATCTGTATCACTACTAAGATACTCATGAGCTTGATGACATTCCTGTGTCGAGGACTCGTTATCGGGCTCGTTCGTATCTGTTATCTCACAAATTGAACTACAACTTGGTTGTGGTGGACGTGGTTGTATCATTCCAGTTGTATTATCTTCAGGAATTTGAACAGATATCGAGTCTTTTGGCTTTGGCTGGTTTTGTCTAGCCTTTAAAATAAAAAAAAAATAAGCTAGCTGTAATACTGCCTGTTGCTTCAAAAACTATCTTGTAGTGGATAAGTGCAATAGTTTTTCGTATATTACCTTGAAGGTGCCAAGACTGCCAAGCCACTTATCCATATTTCTTCAGAAGCACACTAATCAATCACCAATTTCAAATAATAATTAATATCGAAGGTAAAATAATAATTGTGCTTGCAGTGATAAATTTGCTTCATCCGACTCTCTGGAAATCACCGAAATCTCAAGTGATCACTCTGATTCTGCAAACTATGAATTTGAAAACCCTAGTTGTTTGAACCTCGGGTCAAGAAAAGTGCTCATCGATAATTTATTGCTCCTTTCAACATTGCCGAGATGATCTTTTAACCCTGATTGAAGATCATATATAACATCACTTACTTGTGAAAAATGTTTCTTCTCTGATAGTTTCTTAAATATATTCTTCAAACCATTAAATATAGCTATAATGATATAGGTACAATATTTTTCCCCACTCAAAGATTTTGTAGCATCTTCGAAGGTTGCAAGACTTGACACAGTTCCTTAACTATCTTCCATTCTACCTATGTGAGAGTGGTTTAGCTTTCTCTATGGTCGCTAAGGTGCTCTTTATAGCTTCTTCCAGTTTTACGAACCTTTCCAACATGTAGAATGTGGAGTTCCACCAAGTAACCATCTCAAAAATTAATTACAAAGGAGTGTTTTCCATATGCTCTTGATATTTCATAAGCTTGTCATTTGAGATATTACTTCTTCTGAAATAACTTACTATTTGTCGGATTTTCTCTATAATTATTTTGACTTTCTCATTTTTTAGTCCATCTTTAACGATCAAATTAATGGTATGGGCAATACATCCGATGCGTTTCCATCCTGTTTCTTGGAATGCTTTGTGTATATTCAAAGCATTGTCCGATAATGCAAAAATATTTTTTTCTTTATGCACCAATCTTTTGTTATTTTGCGCAAATACGCGTCTAAATTTTCTGCTATATGGCTCACGTCGAATGCTGAATAGACTAGCAAAACCGAAACCCAATAAAAAAATTTGTCTAGAAAATTGACTGTTACGTCAGTTTTATCGTTGCGTATTGTAATCCACAAGTCGGTATTCAGCAGCATACCATATTTTATTCACTTTAGTAATTGTACTTTTAGAACTTTCTTTATTGTGTGTTCATAAAAAAACAGACAATTGGTAGCTTTCTGCCAACAAAATTTTCATTGCGGTCACCAATCAAATGAATTCTTCATGATTAGTTGGCTAGTTATAAGAATTATATTTGAGCCGCTCAGTGCACACATCGATTAACTCCATAAAACGAAAAGTTGAGAAACGCGATGATGTAATGTATATTGTTTTTAAAAATTCTTCTGATATATGAATTCAAATATATAATGTAGAATGCATAATTGCAGATATCGCTTTCATCTAACGGTATATAAAATAAGAAATAATAGCCAACAAACACTCGTCAGTAATGTTACAGTTTTTATGTGACTGGTTGGAGTTAATGGATTTGGCAACTGAAAAAAGTAATAAAGTTAAATTTAGTCTTTACATTTTTAAGTTTTTTATTACAGAAAAAGTTGGTTATTATACATTTTTATCATAGCTTTTCCATAAAAATGAATGTTGGCAGTTCGGTTATAAGATAATTTTTGTAATTAATTCATAGCAGCTTTATGTTAGCGGCATTATTCTTTGGGATGATTCAGCAATATTATAAATAATGTCTTCTTCATCAGCTGTATGCGAGGATTCGTCATTTCGATTTGTTGACAAGTTCTTATAGTAATCGTGTTTAACAGGAGGAATGAATTTTAGCAGGTCCATCATGTCTCTCCATTTTTCCTTTGTCACAGTTCTACCTTTAGGATATAATAAAGGCTGATCTATATTTTTCAAACCGTGCGGTCTACCCACTAAAGATTTTCTTATATTAATGGCTTGAAATTCTGTATCTTCATTACAGTCACATTTGAATTGTATGAGATAGGGTTTGGACCTTTCAAAACTTTATGCAGCGTATTTTAAGCCAATTTACTGGAAGCCCTGTGACGGTTACTTTTCTGTTAATGATAGACTGTTCTAAAGGTTTTGTTGACAAAAAATCTTGGTGAGTCATTTGGATTAGATGAAGTGGCGCTTTCTTTTTACATGTTTTGATTATATGGTACCAATCATCTGGTGAAAAAATGTTTTGATTTTTTTTCGCACAAGACTTAATAATGGCAAAATCTGAGTCATTGGGCAAATAGCTTTGTCCACTTACCAAAAATTTCATGTCAATTGATTCAGCTTTGATTTCCGTGCTTTGAACAAGTTTCAATAAACTTAAGACAGTTTTAATATTTCTGTTTTGCCCGGTACACGAATCCTAAATGTTATTATTTTTTCGAAGTTTGCAGCTTAAGTCTTTATGTACTTTATTAGACAAGATGAAATTTCTTGAGAACCACGAGATCCATCAGTTTCTGGCCAAACAAACATGTGGCTTATATTTTTATTGAATTCATGACATCCAAAATTATAAACATATAAATTTCGCTTATAATAAGCTACAGATGTGGTCAACTTGGGAAAGGCTAAAGCTTTTTCCAAGTCAAAAGAAAATACGAACAATTTTTCCGATGTTGCCATTCGATCGGCAGCCATTTGACTGCGAGCCCGTTCAGTCTCTTCTAAGTGAGTTTCCTTTTCAATTTTTGCCATCTTAATTCCCTCATCGTCTGAAGATTGAATTTTTATTTGGAAAGCATCACAAGTTTGACATGTATCCTCTGATGGTTGTTTAAAATGTAAATTAAATTTTGTAGAGAACACATTATAGTAATATTTTTCTTTCACTGGTGCTACGTTTTCCTTTTCACATTCTGTGACGTATAGTTCATACACCTTCTTAATATTTAAGTCAGGATTTAAATACTGTCGTCTTGGATTATGAGCTCTGGTGTAGTGACTACTATAGGCTGGAAATTACTTTATATGCTTTACAACATTTGTATCATCTATTTTATTGCTTGCAACGCGGCCTTTGCGCTTATCAACCAAATATGTAACTTGTTCTATAGAACAACAATCATATATCCGCCCGTCACTCACCTGATAAGTGTCTCTAAAATATTTTTTACAAACGGGAATATCAAGTCTCTCTTTTCGAAAGTAATATGTAAACGAATGTGATCTTCGTTCTTTAGTTTCATTCGTAGGGCGCCTTCTTTTTTTGATACAACCTCTTAAGAAAATATTTTGGTCAAGATGACAATGTAAACTATAAAATTCTTTCATGGCAGCCTCTCTCTCATCCGAATTAATTTTTTGATTGCAATTTTGACGGCATCTGCATTGTATATCGACAAAGGTTTTGCAGGTATTAATTTTCCTTCCCTATTCCTGTATGCCAAACCTTTTATCCTGTTATGCTTTTGTAAATTTCGTATCCATTTAACATGATTACGACTTCTTTTTCTCCCAATCAATGTGTTTGTTGGGTTTGTACTGTTGCAATCCGGTGAATCCGAGGAAAACGATAAACGTCTTCTTGGACCAGACTTTCTGTTGATAAATCGTATTGAAGAATCATCACTGCTTTCCTCACTCACATTATTAGTCTCACTCATCTTGATTATAACGGTATAATATTTATTTCTTTAAAAACAATCTGGGAGTAATGTTAAAAAGACTAAGAAGTACACAGTAACATTCAGCGTGCGAGATCACTGCTATACTAACTACCGTTTGCATTGTGCTTCTTTTTATCTGTTTACCGATGCGATTTTGTTACGAATATTATTGAGAGGGAGAGAGCATATTCGGCTGTTTAAAAACAAATAAGCGTCGATGCACGGCCAGAACAGATACAGCGTTACTGAAACGATTTACATTAGATTATGGAGTTAATCGAAATGGCTTCTGAAATAAATTACTTATTATTTAATGGCAAAAAAAATTTGCCATTTAACGGTGCTAATCTTTATTATTCAGGAAAGTTATTATAAATATAAAAAGTTATGACTATACCAAGGGCTTCGACACTTAAATTTAATTTTTTTCAAAAAGTGGAGTTAATCGATGCGGCTCATTTAATATTCAAAAATTATTAATCTTCACTGTTATTAAATTACAAATATCACTTCAACAATTCAATCAAGTTAAACAGAGTTTTCATCAGAAGTAAGTAATAATACAATAATACTTAACCTATATTTCCACTAGAAAATTAATCCGAACGGTAATATACCGACTGAGCTGATATAAACATTTTTCTACACCCGTATTATAATAATACACTTATATGCCCATAATCCGTTTTATAATGATATCCATTATGATACAGATTTTTCATAACGATACAGATTTTTACAGTGTTGCCAATGCCCAAACTTGAAATTATACGCTGGCTGGGTATAAAAGATACGCTTTTTATACGCCTTCGTAGATTTAGATTTGCAGTCACTTCTTTGAATTTGAGGTTATCAAATTTGTGTTTCTGCCAGGTTCGGCTTTAGATTTATGAGCTGGGGCACTGCCGTCATAGTTTTATGGTTTGTAAATATATTTACTTATATGTATTCATTTTAAAAGAGTTATTAAATGTGAATATATATATATATGAAATATCATAGTAATTAAAACAACTTATAAAAAACATTTATTTTAAAATCAACATTTAAAGTAAAAAACATGTACCGAAAACATAACAAAACTAAAAAACACATACCTAAATAATTATAAATAACTAAAAATACTAACAAAAACAATAACAACAATAAAACATACAATTCAGTAAAAATAAAAGCATACCTAATTATTTTAAAATATTAAAAAGCTTAAAACCAAGTGAAAAAAGTATAAGTAGGTACTTAACAAAAAAAAAAAACAGTAGGTAACAAAATTATAATTAAATAATAATCAGCATATCTAAATGTTTTATTATCTAGGCGTCCAACTTTTTTCCCAAACATTACAAGATATCATTTTCTTATTTGGGACAAACTTTATGCAGCCCCCTTGTTTTTCAACACCCGTTTTGGTTGCCAGTAAGTATTTTATTGTCTCTGTATTTAAACGGGAACTTTTATCTGTTTTAATATTGTACAAGTTACTAAAAACTCTCTCTACACTTGCGTTCGAGAAGGGTAGGATTAGTAAAAGAGATATGACTTTTTTTAAGTTGGGAAATAAAGGCACATTGGCTGAATTTTTCAGGTTGAATATGGTATACCAATATTGTTCTGCGTCGTTTGTTTGTAAGCTCAAATTATTAAAATCTAATAAGGCATGCTCTCTCCATTCAGTATCCAATGTTTGGATACTATCAATACAATTGTTTAACACTGGAAAACGTTTTACTATATGGTTTAAGGACTATATTTTAAAGCCTTGTGCTATTTCTGGCTCTAAAATTGATATATATTCAAAAATCGGATCTTCAAATAAAAATCTGCGCTTAATATTAGTAACTAAATCTACGTAAAATTCTAAAGTACGTCGATATCTCTTCTTTCAACGTCAGGATGATTTTTTAAATTATTAAATGTTTCTGTAGCTAATACTCCAAGATAGATTTGCTCTAGAGGTAGAAAATTGTGAGGATTTTCATGATTTAATTTCAAAATATCTGTTGTGTCTCTAATTATGAATATGTTTATAAAATTGCTACACAGCGTCTTTACCAGCTTTTCTGTTTCGGGTTTAACCTCATGGAGTAATGGTTTCTCTGATTGAAACAGTAAGTTAAAGTCAGACATAAGACCAACGGTATAACTCATGAACTCTAAATAGACCAATGTAAATTTATTCTGCATAGTTGCTAACATTTGCTCAGTTGTTACAGAAGGGTCTTCAAACACTAGTTCCTAGTTCCATTAAATATGCTTTTAAAGGATCATATTGTTCAATGACCCTATCTACGCAACCTTTTATGGAAAGCCATCGGGTAACTGCTGGGGACAAGATTCTGTGGATGTCGACAATAAAATATTCTTGAAATTCCTAAGAAAAATTTATTCTAAGAGAACTGCGGTTAAAATGGCTTCCTAAATTTCGCAGAAGATCCTCTACTGATCGAGGCAGTTTAAGACAAGCATTTGAAACCGCTAAATGAGCCATATGGCAAGAACACTTGACGCACGAAATATGCGGAATCTCTTGCTTTAATAATGAAAAAACCGAATTGAATTTACCGGCCATGACGTTCGTTGTACCCGACGAAAATCCAACAAAATTTATTAATGGTATATTTTTACCTTCAATTGACGTCTTTAAAGACTTAAATAGATCATTAGCAGTACTACCCTGAATTTCTATTAAATCAAAAAACTGAGTAATCACTTTGGTTGCAGTGTCATCAGAAAAAATTACTGTGAAAGCACATTGTTTTTTTGTCGATATGTCTGTCGTTTCATCCATTATAATGGAAAAAAGTTTCCTGGAATTTTAAGTTTGGCGTAGAGCTCATCAAAAAATATATTCCCTAAACTCTCACTAATTGCTGTGGCTTTTGTTCTTTTCACACTTAGACTTTGTGCAATTTGAGAGTCTGGGAAAATATTTTTTAATAAAGGACTTAAAGAATCCATAGTTGAAAAACTTAAATTATTAGATGCAAGAAATCCGCACAGCTTCAGCTCAGTATTTTTAATATTATTATTTAAAGAAGTATTTTGATATACATCAGTTATTTTTTTTATTATGGCTTACTTGATTGTAATGAAATTTATGTTTTTCAGAAGCAGCGTGTTTTATCAATAAAGCTTTATGGGCTATTAACTCGCAGTTACAAACTCTACAAAACGCCATGTCATTCTTATTTTTAGACGATTTACTCGGATTTTCTGATTTTGATAACCATTCCTTAAACTCAGTTTGAGTTAACCACGCACTAATAAATTTATAAGTTTTACTTGTGTTGGTATCTATTCTCCTTTTCTTATTTCGAGGTTCTTGTAAATCTTCTTCTTGACTGATATCAGGAAGAGACTGCTCTGATATGGCATCATAATCTTCCGGATTATGAAGTTGATCTGGTTCTGGAAGATAAATGTTCTGACTAGACTTTTGATCACTAGCAGGAATCTAAAATTAATTTGTTTTCTTTTAAAAAATGTTACATCAATCTATACGAAATATTGTAAACTTTAATTTTTAAAATATTTCCTTACCTTTTTTAACCACCGCTCCATATTTACTATATGAAAGAAACAACAAAAAAAACCACACACGTTCCTTTAAAAATCTCGTAACTTAAAAACATCGATAGAATAAATGTAGCAATGTTGATTTGTTATTTGTTTAGACAAACTGCCAAAAGATCCAAAGTGCATTTCAAAAATACAGACAATATCGGTTCGGTGAATCCCAGCTCCGGGCCTGTTTTCATTGGTCAATGACATGGAGTGTGGCCTTTTCTAAAATCAGCAGCCAGCTACCAGTCAGCCACTGGTAAATAAAAGCAGAACAGAAGACACACTGAAACAACTAAGTTGTTTAAAAAACTCAGGAGTGTCTAAACTTATTTCTAAAATAAATGGAAATCACAAAGATCCATAGTTTTTCCCAGAATGTACGGAAATTATACGGAATTTCGAAGAGTTAGAAAAAGATACGTTGGCAAGTCAGAATATTCGAAAATCGTATAATTATACGCAAATCGGCAACACTACTGGATTTTTAATCAATAGAAACCCACAATTTTTCAATCAAGCATGCTGTGCACTTGACGTTTGTCCTAGGTTCTTATGTAATTGTTTTAGTTGTCAAAATCAGTATGTATAAAATTTTTGTAGATAGCTAAACTTCGATAATTATATTATCAAAATCGTCGGCTAAATGTGTTAACCTGCTAACTCACATGAAGCCCAATTTTCAGGATACAGAAAAAATGTCTTGATTAATACAAAAGTGTGCATAGAACGACATATTTTAACAAAACGATTCTCAGTATTTTGCAAACTGTTTTTTTAATAAATCGTATGTAAAAAAAAATTAATTTTTTTCCACATCCACAAAATGGAGTTAGCTGTTTTGAAAATTCTCTACAAATAAAAATCGCGAAGATTGCAGTGTTTTTTAATTTGAATTGCAATGACATTGAACAAAAACGACAAACTAAGCATTTTAAAAACAAAAGTACCCTTAAAATAAAATAATTTCGTTACAAAAACATATAATAAGTTTTTATTATGTAATTATTGATGTGGCAAATCATTGTAGAAGCCATGATAATCGGCTTTTAAAGTTGACTTAAGATCGTAGAGATCAGAATATTTTCGAGCTGAGATTTCAATTTTATTTTGATGAAGACTATCTAGTTTAGCATATGTTTTTGTACTGAGTTCTGGTCGTCTTTGTTGAGAAAGAATCGTCCATTCTTCCGACAATCGCAGTTTGTAAAATATAATAATAATAATATCGTCTTTATTATTTCCAATATAAATTTACAATTTTCATAATTTTAAAATTATACATGAAAAATTATTGAAAATAAAGGGCGAAAGTTCAGATTTGAGAAGTAGGATCCACCACAAAATCTGTTCTTCCACTTAACCCAAATATAAATAATAAACATAAGCTAGTACAAAACTAGAATGGTAGGATATATTAAATTAATTTTAATTAA